CATTCCCGCATATCTCCGAGCTTCTTTTCTTAGGTAAAAACAAAGTCCGCCCACGCCCTCCCCCCTCCCCCCCTCGCCGCCCCACCTCTACCCTCACGCCCCGCCCGACTCGCCACCCGCGCGCGTTTGTTCGATTGGAATATGGTGTATCAGATAGGGGGGCGGGTCGTGACCGCGAATATGTTTGCGAAATTAGCGCGGCTCTTACGCGCATGTGCCTCGGAATAGGGACGTTATCGGGAGGGGCGGCCTTTCTCCTGTCAGCATTCGGATGCCCTCCGCTGCCGCTTTTCGGAAACGCTGGAAAAAACACTCGGGAGCGACGGCGGCCGAATGATCAAGGCGATACTGACGCGTGGCGGAGAAGAAGAGAAGGTGGAAGTAAAGATGGATGGTGATTCCGGTGCGTGGATGGGTGGTGACCAAAGAGAAAGATGGAAGGAAATTACTTGGACGTGGGAAGAGTCGGGAGATGGTTGTAGGACGGTGCAGATTGCGAGGTACTGCAGAGGAGGTGGTAGGAATAAGCCACATGACCCGAAAGAAGGGTTGGAAAATGTGCTGGCCGGGTTGGTCCTGAAGACGGAGAATGTAGGTGGCGAGATGGGAAGATATTGGAAATTAAGAAAAAGCTGGAGGCGAACTACTAGTTCGGCCTCGTAATCGGATGTCGGAGGTTTGGTAAGGAGTCGCGTGGACGATTTGAAGGGAGTGGTGGCTCGCGCGCCCGAAGACGAGGATTGGAAGCATTTTGGTTGGGGGCAGTGTAAATATGGGGAAATTATTTGATCGACATTGTAATATATCGCAAAAATCGATAAATCGAAGCCTCCAACCGAGTAGAAGTTTGGTGCACCCTCATACTCTAAAGCACTATTGTCTTTTGCGCATGCGAAGATCAAGTTTTCGCATCACTTTTGTTGCATCCTTGTGCCACGCACAAAAGTAGTGTTGACGCTGTGGGCTTGCCACAAACTCTTAGTATATCTAGTGAAATACTTATATCGATTGCAATTGCTTTTACAGATTCAAGCTATATTTAAAGGAAAGTGTCAATTATGTTCCAATCTATACCTTACTTAAGTTTCGTAGGCATTTCTGATGTACATTACATAACCAATTACGTGCTTTTAATGTCTAGATTGACCGACGAAATGGTAGTAAGCAACGGTTGTTACGTCAAATGTATCATGTGTACGATGTCTCGTCGAAGCCGATCGCGGTAGTGAGCGCTGCGACGTGCATAGTAGCAGCGTAGTTAGTGGTACATAAAAATCAAATCTGTAGTTTGTTTACCCAATGCAAAAAAGGTTGTCTACAACGCGGAGCCGAAAAAATTCTGATTTTTTAAATATTTTCAACTTCGCTCTTGAGTGGTAATATTCTTCACTCACTACTGCGTTACAGATTCTTGTATTATTAGGTTGTTTGAAACCTACAGTAGGAAAGCATACTCAACGACAGCTACATGAACTTATTCATAATAAGTCTATGTATATAGATGATGAAAGCAATGCAGCAATGTATGCCATTTATGCGTTACGTTATGTTAGAGAAAGTTGGAGAAAATCTCTTGAGTCCAGAAAAAGTGAGCGGAATTACACTCCCCCCCCGCATACGTCACCTACAGTTTTTAACTGTTTTTTTTGACGAAAATAAGTTAAATTAAAAATCAAGTGTGTAGGAAGCAGCTGCGCAGGCGGCGGGGCCGGCGGCGCGTCCCCGGTCTGCTTGGGAGCGGACCGCCAGCGGGCGCGGGGGCGGACGTGACGCAAACGCGCCGTACGATCCTCCGCCCCCCCCCCCCACAAAGATTCGTCGAGTTGACGGATTTCGGAAAATTCTGGCCAGAATATACTTAACGAGTTTAACGCGAGATTCTCCGCCCCGCCGCACAAAAAGCGTTCGGACTGTGTGGAAAAAGCGGACGCGCGCGGCGCGCGTCCTTTGCAGCCACGGCCTCCCAACCGCGAGCCCTCCGCAAGGAACCCTCCGCGCGAGGAATGTGGTCAGCGCGCCCCTCGGCGACCGCTCTTCATATCGGAAGGCAGGCACGTTCGGGATCTGGGGCCACCAACTCCAATAGTAGGGAGGATTGATGTGATAAAGCAGACTATTTTCGGGGATGGGAAACATAAAAGCGGGTATGATTAAGTTTCTATTCATGTTGCTGTTGCGTTGAGTATGCGTTCCTACTGTAGCTTCAGAGTTATAATAATACAAGAATCTGTAATCGCAGTAGTGACTGGTAGCAACATTCACCCACTGTCTACTCAACTGTTTGTTAAAGTTAAAAACACTTTATTGGTATCGGCTCCTGGTAAAGGATGGCAAAGGGTGGCAATTTATGAATATAATTTAATTACACAGGGCTTCATTCTGTGCGGAACGCGACTCGAACGGCATCTCTCTACACTTTTCTACACCTGCTCAATATGGATTAAAGCTCCAAAAGCAAAATTCAACAAAATCTAAATAGTCCCCAGTCAATTTCAACCCATCATCTCTAAAGCACCCTGTTTCAAATCAAATCACCAATTACGTAATGAAGTAAACCTCGAACCCATCATTTAACATATTTCTTGCCTGTTCCATTAACTTCTCAATATTCGTCGCATCCAAAATCTGTCCTCAATCAACCTTTGTAACAAAACCTCATCCTACTCGCATTATAAATAAATATCCATTCTATACATTCTCAAAAATATGTTTAGACTTTGAAGAGAACATGTGAGGTACTTCAATATGTGTATTAGTGTAAGCTTGGGTTATGCAGTAATTGTTAGGCCATCTATACATATGTGTACTTTAATTTTAAACCGATTTACACTAAAAAATCAATTAATAATAATAATAAATAATAATAATAATAAAACATCTGAGCAAGTTGTCGTTAAGTGGATTTCCCCACAACGCCATTGTGTTCAAAACAACACACATTCGCTGTTATCGACTCGTATGTTTGATGTGAATTAAGCCAAAACAGTTCCCTAGCCGGAAACCAGAAGCGGATCGCTGTTACGTGCCGCAACAGCGAAATGCGTCGCCCGGAGATTTCAATGCGCGCGCATGGGAGCTGAATGGGCTTCGTCGCCGCACGTCGCCGGGCCGCGCCTCTGCCTCCATAAGCGCTGGGGCGAACAATGAGATCGAGTGGGGCATCTTGCGGGTGCGTCAGCGCGTGGAATGCGCGCCGGGGCACCGTCGAAGTGTCGTGCAGGGGGTTGGGAGGCGGGCGGTAGCGTCGGAGAACGTCTGTGCGGCGACGTGACCCGCATGGCAGGCCCACCGCCGCCCACTCGCCGCTCGCTTCAGTTCACGCGGGCGGGCGTTTTTCTTTTCTGCTACGCCATTTGGATGTACGGGACGCATGGGGAATGCTTGGCGGTGATTCAAATGGTTGTACTTATTAAGGTAGTTGGGTAAAGTTAGTTTGACAAAATTCACGAATTGAAACTGTGAAATTAATTATTTTTGCTCACGCATTTGTAAGTTAACGGCGAGCATTCTGACTTTGGCGCCAAGAAGCTAACATTAATAAACTATAGGTAAAAAAAATTGAATCTTATTAAATGTTCTTCAAATAACATTTTTAATTTTCCTACAGGCGATGGGGCGACAACTGACTGCTGCTGGTTTTTGGTAAGTTAACACCTATATTAAGTTCAATAGTGCAAGTCAGAGCTTTAGTCCACGAATGAAGATATGGTTACTAAACAGTACGTAGCTAAGAAAACATTTATACAACGATCGTTACCAATAACTGAAAATACTCGAGTGCTTTTTTCCTTGCAAAGATTTTGTTCCCACAATACTGAAGGTGTACAGTAAAGAACGAGACAAGTTTTACATTTCCAAGTTAAAAAAATATTTGAAGTACAGATATTGCACAATTTCTTTAAATAATCTCGTTCCCATTGTCTCTGCTAAAAACGTTACTCAATTTATTAACGAAAAACATAGTTTGGCTGCTAATAATTATCTCTTTGACTGCACAAACAAATAGTACGAAGGACTTCGTTCATTTTCAGCCAGTACATACACAAACTGCTCACTCCTTAAACATGTTGTCAAGAAAGAATTACTACTAACAGAATGTTTCATTAATTTGGTACTCGTTCCTTCGAATGGCGATTTGATGTGTGGAAAATTTTTAAAAAGTATAAAACTTATTACATACTATTTTTGAAAAAAACAAATCTTAACTAACTACTACTACTAACGTTATGTATTTGTATAGTTAGTGTATTAATATATTCCCTTGCCAAAAGTGACTAGTAGGTTTTATCTAGACAGTATAATACCGTTATGGAGTTCTCACATTCATAATTTGCAGTAATAATAAAGTGGGGACACTATCTTTCCAGAAAATACGAGAAATCCTATGGTGTATTTAGCTAGTACATCGGGTGTAAGACGCGTTACTCGTATTTTGAGTTGCAATCAACGAAGATCGTCTCATTGATATTTTATGAAAAGGAAAAAAAGACTGAGCCCAGGGGGCATTCAGTTTTCTTCTAGAGATGCGATTAGGAAAATGAAAGAATTACGTTGCGCCAACTGGCCAACGTTGCTGAGGCGTATAACATGGGCTAACGAATGCCCCAAATGAGAGCGGCCGTTTTTCGAGCGATGCCTTGAAGGCCCGCACATTGCTCGCGGGAGCGCTCAGTGCGTCACTGCGGCGCTTCATTTGCCGCCAAAGGCGCCGCGCGCAACGCCTGCGTTGGGCGGCGCGGCGCGCGTTTGAAGACCACTGCGTGCGCCCCCCGCCCCCGACGCACGGCCGCGCTCATTAGCACGCGTGGCGCCGCCTGCGCTCCAGCGACCTCTGCCCCGCCGCCTATCGCCCTCCTCCGGCCTCTTCCCCTCATTCTCCACCGCCCCACCCCTCACATTCTTCACCTCCTCTTCCATCTGGATCTCCGCCGCTTCACCCGCCACATTTTCCAACGCCTCTTCCTCCATGTTTTCCATCGCTTCGATCATCTCTTTCCCCAACTCCTCATTCATTTCGTTCTCCACGTCACTTCCATCACATTCGCCTCCTCCTCTTCCATCTCAGCATCCACTGCCCTTTCCGTCTCATTATCCACCTTCTCTTCCATCTCCACCAGCTCACCCACCACGTATTGCACCTCATATTCTATCTCCTTCTCCACCACTTGTTCTAGCTCATTCTCCACCCCCTCTTCCATCTCTTTCTCCACCCCCTCTTCCATCTCTTTGTCCACCCCTTCTTCCATCTCTTTCTCCACCCCCTCTTCCATCTTTTTCTCCACCTCCCCTCCTATTTCATTCTCCATCGCCTCTTCCATCTCCTTTTCCACCGCTTCCTCCTCCCTCCATACAGAAACCTCTCTTCCTCCAAAGCCTCCAGATGGACCCTCCACCTCCTTCGTCCTCCTCTGGCTCGGCCGTTGCGGCGCGGAGGCCGCGGTGAGGTGCGCGCTGGGACTTGACCTGGCAAGTCCTGACGCGCACGCGGACTTCGGCCCCGGAAGAGGTGGGCTGCGTTCGGACCTCGCGCAAGTTCTTTCAACTGTCTTCCAGACATTTAAACACGAAGAAACTTCGATACTATGCATGCCGTATATCGGGCAAGAATTTAGTTAAATATGGAGCGTAGTGTGATATGAAACCAGTAGCTACAAACAAATCGCCTACCGAATAATTTAATATTTAAATGCTGTAACCTAATGATTTATTCATGAATCGAGGAATCCTCCACTCCTCTCGTTCTGCAGCTCTGCATGAACCTTGGATTTGGTCTTTTTCCTTGAATTTCGAATGTAATCTAAGATGGGAATAGTGTGGAGAAAATTAAAATTATAAAACTTATTACATATCATTTTTGAAAAAAAGGAAATCCTAACGTACTACTAGTACGTTATATTTTTGTATAGTTTATGTGTTGGTATATTCTCTTGCTAAAAACTACTGGTGGGTTTTATCTAGGCAGTATAATACTATTATGGAGTTTTCACATTCGTAATTTGAAGTATTAACACAGTGGGGCCAGTAACTTTCGAGAAAATACGTGAAATCCTATCTTGTATTTAGCTAGTACATCGTGCGTAAGATAATTTACTCGTACTTTGAATTGCAGTCAACGAAGATCGTCTCACATATTTTACGAAGAAAAAGACTGATCCACGTGGGCATTCAGTTTTATACAAGACATGCGATTAGGGAAGCAAAAGAATAACGTTGCGTCAACTAACGCGCCGTAGCAAACGCACATTGAACGATTCTATTCGCTTCCGTCGCGCTTCATTGTGAGCGTCCAGCGCCCTTGTGTTCGTCGCGAGGTCGTAATTATCCGCTGGGAGCGCGTGGCGCGGCCACCCCTTTGTGCGGTGGCGGTTTTGAATTCCGGGGGCGTGCGCCCCCCGCGCTGTGGGCGGGCGGGCCGCCGGGCGGGCGCTCTCCGCCTCCCGGGCGTTGCGCCCATTGTGTACACAGCGCTCGTCTTATGTAAATGTTGCCGCGTGGAGCTTCTCTCGGCTGCGGCCGGCTGGTGACGCGCCCCAGCCGCCGTTGCCGTCACCACCCGCCGCTTGCCGTCACCAATCCCGTCACCTCCGCCACCGTCGTTCTGGTTATCTAGGGATGCGTCATCGATGTCGATGTTTTGAAAATATCGATGATTCTAAAAAATATCAATGTTTTAAACATCGATGTATTGAAGCCGATTGTTCTATGTTTTTACGTTTTAGATACTTGTGGATGAAAAATGCCAATAATCACTATTTTGTAAGAGAAATATGATATAATAACTGAATATATCATAGTGTTTGTGTTCGAATCGGACGAATGCGTTTTAATAACTAAATTTGTAATAAAAAATAATTAAAATAGAATTGGTGATAATTCTTTGAAGATTTTGCATTCTCTTCATCGAGAAGGCTATTATTCATCGCCCAAGATGATCCAGACACCCTAGTATTTCTTTCGTCTTTCCTCGTGTATTTCACACGGAGAAGCATTTTTAACCTTTAAACTTTAGGTCTACTTTTAAATGAATATGCAGGGCCACTGTGAAATTTAATTTTGTTGCGTTAATGTTAGAGGTTACTAAACCAAATTTAAAACATCGATGTTTAAAAATATCAATAGATCAATGGATTATTAACATCGATGCTTTAATTTTGAACAACGATGTTTGGAAACATCGATGTTTAGGTCAATGCGCATCAATGTCTCCTTGCGCCATTGCAGTCATTGGTGGGCTCTCGCCGATGTTAGTGACTCTCACCGTCACGATCATCCTACTGTAAAAACTCGCTACTGTCAGCGTTGCAATTCTCATGTCGCACATCATCCTCGATACACACTCGAGTTCGAGAAGACATAAATTTTACTTACCTTGGAGAAATATTTTGTCTATTCGCATTATGTGTCTTTCATGTTATTAGAATGTTATTATAATGTATTTTGAGCGTTCGTTAGTACAATGTTATTTTCCCTTAAAAACGTCATAAACATATTTATGTAAATATAACTGTTTCCTCCTGAATGTTATATTTAATAAATTAGTATTTATTACTGCGATTTATCTACTCACTCTTCCATACACATCAGCTACTTGGAGGGAAATAAAACTACTTGAGAATAATACTCACACTCAGAGAAACGTGCTGTACTTTAATCAAGGATTTTATTGCAAAGAATACAGACCATTCCATCTGTGAGAAGTGAGTTTCTACGCTTCTCCGTTTATGAAACTCGACAGTACTACGCCCCCTCACCATGTACTTTTTCCCACTTTCCTCGCAGCGAAGTTTCGAGGTCCAGAGAGCGCTTTTCATTTCGCGGCCCTCCTGTAGCCGCCCTCCGCCCTTCCGTCCGTCGTTTACGGCCGCACCTGGCTGTTTCATTTCTCCCTCTCACCGGCGAGCGAGGAGCGAGGGGAGAGGGAATGGCCGGGGGCAATGGGGGACGACAAGAGGAGGGTGGGCGATGGGCGATGGGGCGGCGAGCGGCGGACGCGGGACACGAGGAAAGAGGAGATACCAAGGTTGAGGAAGGAAAGATCGAGCGCGGTCCATGGCCCGTTTATTAGGTTAATTCTCCGGCGTTCGTCTGGTACTGGTCGGAGAAACCTTGAGCAACTACCGATCAAAGCAGCTGTTGCTAGAATTCCTCTTCAGATAGTGGTTGAATTCGAACTAGTTACGTCGAAATTCCGAAACCACTGGGAGAGGAGATTTTTAGGGCCTCCCCATTAGAGACGCTTCAGCGGCAATGTTGATTGTCATTGAGCTATCTCGGTCGGTTTACTTAGTTTGTTGGTGTAATGTTTAATGCGCAGTCACAGAGTGCGAACTAGGGATGCTACATCGTGCTGATGTTTTGAAAACACCCATGCTTCTATAAAAACATTGGTGTATTAAAGTTGATGTTTTTTGAACATCAATGTTTTTACGTATTCGTATTCGTGGATGAAAAATTCCTAATATCTCAATTTTGTAAAAATTAAAATATGACCTATGATGGTACCACTGACGGTTTTGGCGTTCGACCCACAGTAACTCTGTTTTTACTACCTTCAACTTAGATAGAGATTCAAGTTAGACTCTCCCCCGGTCGAGATGGTCCTAATACTTTGGTATTTCCTTCGTGTTTTGTCCTGTCTTCCA